CCCCAAAAAAAAACAATCAAATACTTTAGTGTTTGTCAGGGGCATTAAAAATACCCTTCAGGAAAAATACGTGGTTCTTTACAATATAAAGTGTTGTTCTCCCCGCCACCCCCTCTGGTAACTGACGTTGGAGGTGGTAGGAAATGAGCTAGGATTCAAAGTCCTTCTGCCTTTGGAGGTGAAAAGTTTGGGCGTTAACACCGCCAGGGAAAATAAAACTGAAAGTTCACCAACCCCTGGGATCAGTGGTACTGGAGTCTTTCTCGAAGGGGGTGTGAAATGAAATCCCCAAAAGACTGGCCAAATAATCAAGATGTAGATGGCTCTGGCAGGAAATTGCTAACTGAGCTGATGCTGAGAGACCTCAGGGAGGAGGTGGAAAACCTGGGGTTTGAGGCAGGTATTGTTGTTTTTAGGCACCTCGCCTGGGGAGCAGATTTGCTACAAAATGGGGAACAGAATTATGTTAAAGAGGAAAAGACCTGACTCCTAAAACATAGGCTTCCTGGATGATGGAGCAGCAACACTCATTTCCTTGCAAATATTCAGTGGAAAGTGGACAGGAAACTACCACATGAAAAGGGGGACCAAAAAAATAATAATAAATCAATAGGAATTAGCAAATTGTCTGTTAGGAACAGTGTTGGTCCATGATGTACTAAATTATCCCACCAATCCCCCAAAAAACTCACATACATTCCAACTGGCCCATCAGCACCTAAGGTTTCTGAAAGAAAGCAAATTTACCATGTAATATTTAGAGAGTTTGGGTTTCAGCAAAACTGTTTTATAGGCTAAGGTCTCAGAGAGAAGACTACTAAAAATAATGATACTAAGATTGACAAGGCCAATGAATTCCCCTGCACTGGGAAAAATTCGCAGCCACATTAGCACACTAAAGAGTAAAGAGGCAGGCAAAATAAAATGGGGAGGGGGAGAGCCTATGGAGGAGAATCACTGTAACTCCCAACTTTAATATTAATCAGAAAAATCAGAAGTAGAGTGAGAAGGAGCCAGAAAAGAAGTAAAACAAATGTGTACATTTAATCAGACAGGATTGCATAGGATACAAAGCACAGGGCTAATTAGTCTCAGCAGGTAGGACTAACCTTCAGACTTCATAAATAAATAAGGCGGGCACAGTTTCTAAGAGGGAGAGTGGAGACAGAAAGGGGATTATTTCAAGACACTAAGTAAAAACATGAAGAATGAAATGCTTCACTGTTAAATCCATGTACAAATGGATTTAACAGTTTCCTTTTCCTAGGTCTTTTCACTTGGTTGCCTTTAGATTTACACATTTAGCGAATGACCATAGCTTTTCACACTTGCTAATTGTCACCTGCATACCTAGTGTGCCTGAGTCTGTCTGTGTACAGCATAGACTTTTCTAAAGCCTGTTTTAAGGGCTTATTTACTTAAACTGGAACACATTCATAGGAACTCAATTTATGGCAATTTCTTTGTCCTGTGCGGTGGTATTTTTTTTTTTAATCGAACCCTGATCTGAATTAAGTTGGATAATGAGGACTTCTATGTCCTTTATGGGACTACCTGGATAATAAAAGCTCATAAATATACTGAATTGAAATTTTAAAGCACGTACTTATTGTTTTTAATGCCCTGTCCTGCATTTTTATCATATGTAAATACTAAAGGCTTTCTTGCGATGATTAGTAACCTCATCCATGTTGGCACATCCTAATTTTTCTCATTCAAAGGAAACTCTTGAATCTTTCCTTCTTTAAATCTCTGATTTAATTAAGCAATTAAAAGTTATTCCATAATAGCACATGTGCCACATTTAATTTCATTGCTTCGTGCCATAAAGGCTGGGGAGACCAGCAAGATCTCAGAGGGTCAATAACCCCTGAGTCTCTGAAAAAGGGCTTCAGGTGATGCCTGCCCGGATAGGAGGTAGGGGAGGGAGAGGGTGTGGAATTGCAATGGGCAAAAAGCAGGGTAATATAATACATTTTTTAAAAGTCAGGTTGCCTGGCTCACAATGTGGACATGTACTTTATAGATTTGGTGTGAAATTTTAAACAACAGTTGGCTCGTGTCCAGGTGTTGAGGTAACTTCTCTCTCCAGACACTAAGGACTCCTGGTTTACAGGATCCTGAGCTCTGCCCAAATAGCAAGGGTTCCAAGAACACAGGGACGAAACCAGACCAGTTCTGACTTTGGCCCAAGCCAGGGGATTTTGCATATTTGGGAGTGGGCAGGATGGGGAGGAAGTGACCTCTTTCCTGGGGCCCATTCCTGGGGCCAGCCCAGGTCCTGAATTCTAAGGAGACTGTGTCTCAGCCTCTCTGTCTTCCTGCCTCTCCTCCTCATCCACTGCCTTTCTGCTTCTTCACCTCTCTGTTTTCTTCTCCCCTTTCGGCTGTCGCTCTATTAAATCCCTGTGGACATGTGTTGATACTAGAATCTGCATTTTACTTCGAAAACTAAGTGAACGGGTCACCTTTCCCAGGGATACTTCCTTGTTCATCCCTATTGAGGCATGTGAAAAGGAAGTTTCCAGTCGATATAAATCGTTCTTCAGGTGTTGGTTCCTTATGGGGGAGCCATGGTAGAGTGGTAGTTGCCCTCTGAAAAATGAGAATGTGCTTAATGGGGATGGCAGAAACAGGCCAAGCGTCACCTGTGTCCTCCACCTGTCACCTGTCGGGTGAGGTCGTTGGACTGGGTATTTTCCTAGGTCCTTTTTTACCATTCAGAGGGCCCATGATTCCATGCTTTCAGCCCAGACCCCAGTTACGCTAAGAGGTGCAGCAGCACACAAGCAAAGACGACAAAGCGCCTTGGAAGTTTGGCTTTGCAATTTAGGAAAAACAAGGATGGCCTGCTCAGATTCGCCAGAAGTGAAGAATATGTGTGGTCGAGCATACTCAGCTCCCCCAGTGGTTCCTCAACATTCCACTAAATGACGCTCCACAGTGACCTGCACACGTACGCGTGTGGGCATACGTGTGCCGTGTGATTTTTCCCAAAAGATTCGGGCTCCAAGATGGATGATCCAACCCACTGTGTTGGACTTATCTGTGCAGGGAGGGTGCTGACCGAGGGAAGCCAAAAAAAGAATCTGAAAACATAAGGAAGCTATAAAATGGGGAAATGTTTTGAAGCCAACGTCCTGCTTCCACTGTGAGATTTTCTGTTTGCTTTTTGTTCTGCGTGGGTGATGGTTCCTTATTTGGACCTTGAGGAAAGCTACTCCCTTAGCCAACATAGGCACACTAAAAATTGGACACCTCTAAGAGTTTTCCATTTTAGCAGGAGGAAGGGGTAGGCAAAAAAAGGCTCACTTCACAGGCATTCTTTTACTTCTCCCCAGTGGCGCTGTCCAGGGACACGGAAAGGCATATATACCCTCTTCCTGAACCCCTGAGGAACACTGTTCTGTTCTGGCATTTTTCTGAAGTGCCTGGCTTGATCACCTTGCTTCGGCTAATGACAGGTCCGGGTAATAAAGTGACAATAATGCCTGATGATCCAAGGGTTAATGGGGAGATGTATGCATTTGCACAGAGTTTCATCATCTGCCTTCATAAGCTGATCACTACTGCTATAGGTACTTATGACAGGAGCCGCCTTGCGAAAGACATCAGTCCTCCATAAATACACCTTTCTTATTGACAAGATGTCTTTTAACCCTAATAGTAATGGAAGAAGGCCAATAAATGAAACATTTACTGCATAACTTGCCTTATTTTGGGGTGGTGTATGATTCCTTTCTAGCCGTCTCGAGAAAATGTTTTCAGCCTAATTTGCTCCCTAGAAATTTCGCTTGCTACAGTTATACGTCTATGACGTTTTATTGCCTGAAGCCAAGTCTGCATAAGAACTTTCTTAAGATATACTTATCCTAATGCCAGGCTACAGGAACTGGGCTGCTTTATGCTGAATTATTTGTGCTACCCTGATATACAGGATAGAGACTTCCCGACAGTCATTGCCATAGGGTAGGTCTAAGTGTTTCTGAGAAGGGGGGAAAAGGCAGAAAAAGGTGAAAAAAGTTTCATCTAGGTTGATTTGTGGAAGTCTTTAGAATTAATAATTGGGTCTGTATTTAACATATTAAAATGCCTGAGGTTTTCTTTTCTTTCTCTTTTTTTAAAAATAGCTTCAGTGACCCCATCCTTTCTTACAAAGCATCCTCACTGGCCCAAACTCATTGTTATGTTCAGAAATGTCATGGATATCCAAGCACCCTCCACAAAAACACGGGCACTTTAAACTGAGGCAAAGACAATGTCAGCCAGCGTGGAGCGGTCTCACAAGGTGGTTTACGTCTGTTCAAGGGACAGAGCAGGTGAAATTTCAGGAGAGGACAATGCCATTGTTCCCCTTGTAATTTATCTAAGTGTGGGCTGATACACCTGCTTCTGGCCAAAAGTATCACGGGATAAAGGAGGTGAAGGATCGAAGGAGACGTCCAGGTCTAGAGTGTGAAGATTTTAGGCTTGGTTTCCCCCCAGGAATCCACACCAGCTTTGAGCCCTAATCTGTCCTTGAGGAAGGACTAAATCTATGTCGAACGAATCACTTGAGACTGGACTGGATTGCAAAAAACCCCAGTTGTTTCTGCAAATTCCAAAGATATTTGTGGATTCTATTTCCTAACGAAACCTTCATTTGAACAGGGGGGAAAAAAGGAAGAAGGATACATGATGAGTTCCGGCGTCCGGAGTGAGTTCGGGTCCCAGTGTAGACAACAGCCTGCAGCACGGGGTTGGGCCAGGAGGGAGGCTTCCGGTTGACTGTCATCCGCAGCCGACTCCGTTTCTTGGTAGCCTGAGGGCACACTGTAAATACCTAGAGCGGGAGGCATTAATCGTTATTTCTTAAAGGTTCCAGGATGCCAAGAGTGAGAGGTTATAATGACCTCAAAACCCCGTAAGAAGCACAAGGACCCCTCCCAGAACCCCCTCGCTCGGAAAGGTGGCCTTTCTCCATGCGTGTGTACCCAGACACTGATTCTGCCACGCTTTCTAGCGACAGTCCAGGTCCTTGATGTCTGTCACGGCACAGGCGTAAACATTCCTTCCCTCTACCCAGCCAAGGGCTCTGCTCCTGGAGAAACCTCAGTCCTGGGCAGGGAAGAATCCGCAGAGGCCCCGCCCACTCTCCCTTCCCCCTCCTGCCAGGGTTCATGGGGGGGGGGGGGGTGTGGCAGGAGGCCATGTGAATGATGGTGTCTACTATGCCTGTGAGACCCTCCTAGCTCTTCCAGGCCCTGCCACCCACCTCCATCCCCAACAGGCAAGGTGATGACTCTAGAAACCAGATGGGGCATTTCTTAGGGAAGGATCGGCTACCATTGTCTTTCAGCTTTTTCTTCTTTGAAGGAACCATGCCTACCCTTCCTTAGGAGAAGCGTCTTTCTAATGTGATCATCTGGCCGCTGTTCATGTTTTGTTTTATTTTATCTTATCTTATCTTATCTTATTTTATTTTATTTATTTTTGCCGGCTACAAAACAGCATGTATTATAGAGTTCTTTTTTTTAAAAGGGAAATTGTTCATTAAAAATACTTGAAAGGATGTGCCCCAAAATGTCAACGAAGAAATTTTGACTTTCATTTTTCTGCTTTTTTATACTATCTGGTTCTGTTCGGGATTAACACCTGGGTACGGGTTATTTGCACAATCGTAAAGGAAGATAACGCTGTTTTTCTCTTTTCAAAAATGAATCCTTTGACTTTCTCCTCTCTTGTATCCATTCCAACTTTGGGGACGTTTCGAGGTACTTGTTGCTGACATTGTATCCAATACATAACTTTGAGCCTCTGTCAAATACGCCCTCAGACTTGAATTTCAAAGCACATCAGTGGCAAAGGATCCCATGTCATGCCTTTAATTTGAAAGTTACTAATAAGCCCCATCCACCCTAAATGTGCCCAGTGACCTGCCTGCAGGTTTCACGGTGGCATCCTTTGTGTGTGAAAGGCCATCGTCCGTCTATAAACCTTTTCTCATACATTGACTTGCTGTTCACAGCACCGTGTGAAGTAGAGGGCAAGTGTAATTACCCATTTTACAGGTAAGGATACTGAGGGTCCGAGAGATCCAGGCAGGCCGAGCATCACATGGCTGAGGGTAGCCAGGCTGAGACTGGGATTCAAGTTTCCTGATTCCAGGTAGAGGTCTTTTTTTGCTACTGGTTCCTGGGCCAACCCAACAACGGAATCACCCTCACGAGTTTTCTGCGATATATCGGGGGTAAAAAGAGGAGCTTGGCAAAAAGATAATTTCCTTTGAAGTAAAACTCACACCCAGCCCTCAGCTACACTGTGAATTGGATAGTATTTGTCCTCAAGGCCCACCTCTCCCCGCCCCCCTCCCCCCACCATGCTTGTGGGATGCCCAGGGCTCTCCCCTCAACTTATCCCATTCCTTACATTCCCAGTCCCTAAACAGCACCAGGTCTGTCAGCCTGGGTGCCATTGACATTTTGGACTGAGTGATTCTTTGTTGTGCAGGGTTGTCCTGGATGTTGTTGGACATTGAGCAGCATCTCTGGTCTCTACCCACTAGCTGACATTGACACTGCGCCCTCAGTTGTAACAGTAAAAACAAAAACAAAAAGACCTCTAGGAATTGTCATATGTCCCCTGGAGGCCGGGGAGGTATGGAGCAAAATCACCCCCGCTGCTCTACACCGAAACCCCCCTCTCTGGAAGGCACATGATAACCCCATTCCTTTTTTTTTTTTTTTTTTTTTTTTAACGTTTATTTATTTTTGAGACAGAGAGAGACAGAGCATGAACGGGGGAGGGGCAGAGAGAGAGGGAGACACAGAATCAGAAGCAGGCTCCAGGCTCTGAGCCATCAGCCCAGAGCCCGACGCGGGGCTCGAACTCACAGACCGTGAGATCGTGACCTGAGCTGAAGTCGGAGGCTTAACCGACTGAGCCACCCAGGCGCCCCAATAACCCCATTCCTGATAGTAAGTCACTTAGTCCTCTGACCATCTCCCCCTTCCCCCTGTCAACCAGGGGCTGTCTCAGAATGGCCTAGGGAGTTTCTTTAAATTGTGACACTTCCGAAACTCCCTGCTGAGAACCTATGCCCCGCACAAGAAGGCATCTTGGTCTCACCGGAAGAGCTCACATCTTGACTCTGCATGTCTGAATGTGTGCCCTGAGGTCCATCCAAAAATCATTCTAACTCTCTTTGCTCATATAAAGTGGGGACATGAGACCTATGTCTGAGTGTTATCATTAGAATTCCATGAAATAGCATGTCAACTTGCCTTGATCACAGAGATCTTCAATCAGGGCAGACTTTGTTACTCGCCTCCCGCGTCCAGATGGTAGATCGAATGCCCAGATTCGGCACAAACATGGCACCGTGAGAGGGCTCAGTGCACCTTAGCTCTACCGCTGTTATTCTATCCTTCCTAGTTACACCTCTCAAGGGTGGCTGGATTATACAAAGGAAAAGTGCCTGAACTCAAAACAAACACATCTGGAATGGTGGCTCTCAAACCAAAGACAAGCTGGAAAATTGCAGCAAAGGGTCTTTTGGATCTCTTAGTGGTGCTGTCCATCGGGAGGGGGCAGCCCCACCATAAGAGTGTCCCCAACCACCGTCCTCCCTCTGTCCCTCGAAGCAAATCCCTCCCACCCAGTTAGGGAGGGCAACAAGATTTTGAAAACCCCCAAGGCCTGGTCTCCAGTGTCTAGTAATTTAATAACACGCAGCCCTTCATAAACACTAATTAAGCAAGAGCGCTGCTCCTGGTGAAGGAAGCCCGCCACCCTCCCACCCCAGGCCTCTGCTTTCAGGTGGGAGGCCACTGAGAGGTGCCCCCCACCCCCGCCCGCCCAGAGAAGTGGTTTGCCTAGGGCTAAAGAGGAAAGAAAAAAAGGCAAGTCAAATGGGAAGAAGAGAACCCTTGTGGGGTTCGGTCCAGTCAAGGCTGTTACAGGTTACTCTGGACTGGAGCATCCCCTTTAGATCAGGGGCTCTTCTGGCTCTTGCGCTTCTTAGGGGAGGGTGTCAGAGACCCCTTTGAGAATCCGAAGCTAGCTTTGGGAAAGCTAGCACCTGGGAAATGCACTCACACTTTTTTTTTATTAATTTTTTTTTTCAACCTTTATTTATTTTTGGGGCAGAGAGAGACAGAGCATGAACGGGGGAGGGTCAGAGAGAGAGGGAGACACAGAATCGGAAACAGGCTCCAGGCTCTGAGCCATCAGCCCAGAGCCTGACGCGGGGCTCGAACTCACAGACCGCGAGATCGTGACCTGGCTGAAGTCGGACGCTTAACCGACTGCGCCACCCAGGCGCCCCGCACTCACACTTTTAAAATTTTGCAAATACACTTGGACCTGGAACAACGCCGGGGGGCAGGGGGACAGGGGGTAAGGGGCGCTGACCTCCTTACACACACACAAAATAGATGATGCATGTTTAACTTTTGACTCCCCCCAAATCAATTACTAATAGCCTGCTGTTGACCAGAAGCCTTACTGATAACATCAACAGTCAATTAACACATACTGTGTATGCTCTGTGTATTATATACTGTGTTCTTACCGTAAAGTAGGCTAGAGAAAAGAAGTTATTAAGAAAGCAATAAGGAAGAAAAGATACATTTACACTCCTGCACTGTAAGAACATCCATGTATAAGTGGACCCGCGCAGCTCCAAGCGGTGTTGTTCAACGACCAACCGCACTCTGAACTTATTAAAATTTCCTGCCCTAAGTAATTATAAGTCAGGTCTGATGTTTGGCGAGCCTTTTACAGTTTTAGGAGCACTTTCCAAGAGGCAAGCGGGAGAATGAGGAGGCGCAGCACGTGGGTTCTAGAATGATGGGAGTATACCCGTCAGTGCCACTCACCAGCTGGGTTGCCCTCAACAAGGTGTTGCGCCTCTCTGCACCCCCATTTCCTCCCTGCCTAACATGAAGTTAGTAGGATAGCTCTTGTTAAAATGATGTCTGCTTAACAGATGAAGAAACTGAGACTTGGACAAACTGAACCCAAAAGGCTACCGTTTGAACCCAGGACTCCTGGCTCTTCCTCTATCATTCTATCAAAACTTTTTAAACTTTTTTGTGGAAGGAGAACATTCGTAAAGTGCACAAGCCGCGAACACTCCCCTCGCTGAATTCTTGCTAATAGACACACCCATGTAACTACCATCCACATTAGGATAATAGGATATTATCAAAACCGCAGAAGCCATCCTCCTGCGCCCTCCAAGTCAATGTCCCCGCAAAGTAGGGTTGCCAGATTTAGCAAATAAAAATAGTGCCTTGGACGTGCTTACAGTAACACATTAGCCTAAAGCTGGAATTCAAATCTTACCCGGTGGGCTGTATTTTATCTGGCAACCCCACCTCAAAAGCAACCAGTAGTTTAACTTACGATTCTAGATTAGTTTTGCCGTTCATAGAAATGGAATCCTAGAGTGCGCAGTCTTTTGGTTCAGGCTTCTATTGTTTAACATGTGCATGAAATTCAACAGTGTAGCGGCAGCATTTGGCCCTCAGCCAGAGGCCCTCGGGTGGGCGGACACGGGCGGCCTCTTGGGGCACGCCATCCTGTGGGGGCTGCTGCATGGCCCGCGAGTCACAGGTCCAAGCCCACTCACACACTCCATCTCCAGGGGTCCTTCGGGACCCGGGAGCGAGCGGACCTTGGTGGCGGTGAAGCCACAGGGGTGCAGTGGTGGCTCATTGGGGATGTGATCCGGCGCTTTGAGAGGAGGACCTTCAAGCTGGTGGGGATGAAGGTGCTTCAGGCAACCAGACAGAGACTTTGCCCAGCACTGCCATGACCTGCAGAAGCCCTTCTACCCAGCCCTCATCAGCTATAGGAGCTCTGGCCCCATGGCGGTCATGGTCTGGGAAGACCCCAAAGGGGTCTGCTCTTCAAGGGCCATGACAGGACACATGGTCTCAGCTGAGACTTCCCCCAGCACCACGGAGGAGGTGGGGACTTCAGCATCCACATCAGCAGACACATCATCCAGGCCAGCGACTCCATGGAAGGTGCCCAGAGGGAGACCCAGCTATGGTTCCAGAGCACTGAGCTGGCAGACTGGGCAGACAAAGGCCACTAGAGCAGCCTCTACCCAGCCTGAGCACTCGGGCTGCCCTCAGCCACCCCAGCAGCCCCCCAGGATCAACTACTTCTGTCCATGAGAACTTGAGCCCACACCCAAGGTCTGCCCATCTGTCCCAGACCACTTCCCTGTCCACCCCAGCCCAGAGGGGTTGAGCCACCAACTTCAAGTGACTTTTAATATCCCAAGCCACTTCAGACGGGACCAAATCCTTTCTGTACAAAACTGCCAGGCAACCTTTGGGGTGTCTCCAAAAGTGTGTAGTATGACCTTCC